CAGAAGATCTATTGCTTGCAGGCCTCTGGTGGGGGTTCTGGATGGCCATGGTGGGATGTGTGTGGCAGAGCAAACTGCCCATCTCGGAGTCAGCAAGCAAACAGAAAGGAAGAGGGTGTTGGCATGCTTTCCAAGAACATGCTTCCAGTGACCTGAAAACTCCCTGTTAATTTTTGCCTACCCATAGTTCCACTGCCTCCCAACAGTGCACCCTGGGAATTGAAACTTTAATACAAGCCTTTTGGGGAGACAGTCAACATCCAGACTATAACAACACCTGTGAAACAGGCGGGGAAAGGAGCCTGCTACTGTAGTGAGGTTCTTTGGAAGTCTTGCCCAGACTGGTAGGGAGCCGCTGAGCTAGAGTTGCCTATTATAGGAGTCCTGTGGAGAGGAACTGCCTACTTCCATTAGCTCATTATGCACAAGAGTGGCCAGGAACTTGCTAGCAAGGCATGGCCTCACATGAACACCATGGTGGATTCAGAGATGTGGTAGTTGGCTACTATGAGTCCTCTGTGCTCCTCACGGTAACTTCACTAAAGCGAAGCCTCCACGCTATGGCAGTATGATGATTTTTGACCTTTACAACCTGCTATAATGTTCATTTGGGGCTCTTGTTCTTTAGAAGGCTGGAATTCTTTGCAAAACACAGTAAGGGGTGATATAGTTCAATATCCTTAATACTTTAGCCCCTGAGTAACAATTTTAAATTTATTTATTAATTACCAGGCAGGCATCAATAGTTATGGGTAATTACAGTGATGAATCACGCATGAAATTCTTACCCTAATAGAAGATGCTTTCACCAAGTTGGAGGCAGCAGGTCGTAAGTATGTATATAATTTGAATGAGTTAATTAGTGCTCTGGAATAAATAACATAGGTCGGTGGAATATGCCAAGAGAGTCTTACAAGGATAAACAGAGTTTGTGGTAGGCTTTATTAAGAAGTTGGTATTAGGTAAAATCTTGGGAAAAGAAAAGCCAGGTATTGGGAAAATATTTGATGTGCTATTCACTTATATCTCAGACTGTTAATTAGCAGAGAGCCTTGGGAGATAGAGAGAGTGTGTCCTTAGGTCTAGGGCAGATTTGGCTTTCTTACAATAAAGGTGGAGAACATCACCCTTTTTAAAAAACATTCTAGGATAGAAGAGCCTCTGTTCTCAAGAGATTTACCAAATGGATGCATACTGAGGCCATACTCTTAAGTGAAATAAATAAGACACACACGTTTAAATACCGAATAGTTTCTCTGGTGTGAAAATCTAAAAGTGTAAATAAGATCCAAATTGTAT